GCTCTTAGGTTGTTGCTCCTTTGTTACCTCTTTTGAGTGAAGCTTTGTTGTTTCTTATCCAATTGCATTTATTTGATTGTTTTCAGATGAGGCCGATGATTCAGTTCATACTTTTACTGGCCATACTGGTAAGAGTCTATTCTAATTGTTTTTCAGTTTATGTGTGCAATATATACAAACACACATACATAACATACATACATATATATAACATATATTGCTTGCTTTTTCTTCTTATGCTCTCTCCATAAGGTTCATATATTTATTTGATGAATCAATTGATGACAATAATAACTCATGTTTTCAATCTTTGAATCAAAGTGGAGTAGTATTAGATGTAAGAAATTTTCCTAATCTAACTTTGTGAAGCTTATTTTTCATTCATCTTATAATTGGAGGTGTATTTTTTCATGAATATGTCAAAGAAAATATTGAACCTTTCCCTCATATTAACGGAAGTTCATATTGGTGTACCCCTTTCCCTTAGGCGAGGTTTACACGGTGGCTTGTAGTCCAGTAGATGCTGCTTTAGTTGCAACAGGTGGTGGAGATGACAAAGGATTCATGTGGAAGATTGGCCGAGGAGATTTTGCACAGGAGCTTAGTGGTGTGTCCATGATACTGTAAATGGTTGTAAACATATATTTTTGTTTTGCTTTTCATTTCCAAACGTATTATATTATGCTTCCTAAGTACCAATTCCCCTTCCTTTCCCTTAGCTAATTCTGTGAATTAGCATATTAGATCTTATATCTGTTAATTTTTTCTAACTGGTTTAAGGGCAACTATATGCAGGTCACAAGGATTCTGTGTCTAGCTTAGCATTTAGTACAGATGGACAATTACTTGCATCAGGGAGTTTTGATGGACTTATCCAAATTTGGGACATTTCCTCGGGGAATCTTAAATGCACACTTGAAGGTCCAGGAGGGGGAATTGAGGTGAAGCTCTATTTATTTATGATAAAATTGATTATTTAACCAAGCCATCCATTTTTTAGGATGATCGAGGTTTAGGTTCATTAATAAGAACCATTTATATCTACCAGTCATCATTCTTTAGGATAATCCCCCTTTTTCTTTCTGTTTGTTTCTTGCTCCATTGGGGATGGTACAACAACCTATTTTTGGAGGACTGTTGGTTGGATGATCAAACCGAAACACATTTCATCGTCTTTACTGTCTTTCTGATAAGTGGTTGCATTAAGTGGCCTCTGTGTTGGTCTTCGGGAAATTCCTCTTTTATTTCTCTGGTCTCTGCTTTTTTTTTTGGAGATAATTCTCTAGCCTCTGTCGCGGACAGGGAATTGTTGAAGGTTGTTGATTTGCTTGTACCTAGGGGAGGTACGTGTGATTCAGGCAAGGAAGAACTTTCGTATTTTATCCCGTAACCCATCGTTGGGTTTTACTTGTAGTTCTTTCTTTAATATTTTGATCGATTTTACTTGTAGCTCTTTCTTTAATATTTTGAGTGTTTCTTTGCCTCCCCCTAATGCCTCGCTTTCGCCTTGCTCTAGAAGGTAAAAATTCTGAAAAGTTAAGTCACAGGTTTTACATGGAAAAATTAATACCATAGACAATATTTAGTAGGGTTCTTTTTGATTGGGTCCTCAGTGGTGTGTCCTTTGCAAAAATGCTTATGAGGACCTTGACCGTATCCTGTGGAGCTACCAGTTTATTTGGGTTAGTTCCTAGAGGTTTTTGGTGTTTCTTTGGCTTGTAATAGGATGGAGTTTTGGACAATGGTGGAGGAAGTTTTGCTTTGCCCCTTTGGGATAGAGGGACCCTATTGTTGCAGCTAGCATACTTGTTTCTTCTTTTTGCTATTTGTGGGGTATTCGGATTGAGAGGAAAATTATAATTTTCATGGGTGGAAAGGTCATGGGAAAATTTGGGATCTAGTTAGATTTAATACTTCTTTGTGGTTGTCGGTTTTAGGCTTGTTATAATTACCAGGTGCCATTCGTTTTAGTCGGGGTCCCTTGTTGTAGATGAATTCTTCTTTGGTGCTTGTTTTTTGTATGGCTCTTGTATGTTATTTTATTTGTTCTCAATGAAAACTTGGTTTTTATTATAAAATAATGCTTAGTGGGTAAGGTGGCATCCCAGAGGACATCTGGTTTTGGCTGGTTCTGAGGATTCCTCCGTTTGGATGTGGAATGCTGATAGAGGTGTCTATCTTAATATATTTTCTGGTCACGGTGCTAGTGTTACCTGCGGTGATTTTACCCCTGATGGTATTTAACTAATCTCCACCTTGTTTTTTTTTTTTGTTACTCTATGTGACGATCAATTACCAGATTTTATGATATGCACATTTTTAAATATTTTTTTTTTTCAAATGACCATGATGTTATTCAAGGTAAAATGATTTGCACGGGTTCTGATGATGCAACGATGAGGATATGGAATCCAAGAAGTGGTGAGAATATTCACGTTATGAGAGGTACGTTTGAAACTTGAGTTTATGATCCATTTAAAAATTTTTCCTCATTAGTTATGAACTTGTTAAAATTTCAAACTCATAAGGAATTAAAATTGAAATCCTTGCCCTGATTTTTTTAGAAATTGATTGGTCAATCTTCTGTGTATATTTTACTTTAATCAATATATTTATTTATAAGTTTTTTTTTAATAAGAAAAACTTTTTTCTAAGTATACTTTTTGGGAAGTGCAATTTCCATTGGACAGATGTTAATGTATTGGTTAGGAAGTATTGAGAATTTAATTTTCCATCCTTGTCTTTTTGTGAAAGTTTGATGAGGTCGTATTCCTCATCTACCTCTGAATATGAGCTAGTCTTGGACAATTGGGACTTGCTAGAACGGTACGAGATTAGGGATATAGGAAAAGAGTGATCGTTTAAGACTTGCTTGATCTTGAAAGTGAATCCTTTTAATATTTTAAAAGAAAAGTGTTAGGATTCCAAATACAAGAACCTAGCTAGAAAACTATATTGCAACATCAAAGAGAAATTAAAATATCATTACCCTTTCGAGAGGGCTATCTCTCTCCCAAGAACCATGCTAAGTTCTTCACCAAAATACTATTTCCAAAGATGCTCTCCTTTTCCCTTACTACCCTTATTTATATCCATTTTACCCCTAACTAATTACCATACTACCCCTTCATACTAACAAATTTATATTCCCCTATACCCCTAATAGGGCTCTCACAATACCCCGCCCTTCAAAGACACCTTGTCCCGGTGTGCATACACAAAAACAATTTTTTTTTTTAAAGAAGAAAATATCCACCCAGAAACTGCTTCAAATGGAAAGTAAAAGAAAAATCCTAGCTGGCACGCAGTGGTGTGTGACAAACGATGGCGGTGGTGGCGTGACGAACTTCGGTGGGTGATGGTGTACACCAGCGGCATACGGCGGACGGCGGCTGTGGTAGACGGTGATGGCTGAGGATTGACGACAATGGTGGATGCCCAAGTCGCGGTCGGCGACGAACACTGTGAAGGTGGACGACGGCATCATGTTGGGGTTAAGATGGAATTTCCCAATGATGGGTACTAGGGTTTCTCCCATCTCATGGGTAGGGATATGCCATTTCGGGTCAAGTTTTGGGTTTGGATTTTAAACAAATCTTGACCCGGTCCGAATCCCAAACCTATCTTGCCCAACCTCCTTTTCTGAATCAAAATAGGCCACACCAAAGTCATTTAATTTCAGTCCTCTCAGCCCAATTCTCGCTTCCAGCCCAAGGTCAAACTTTTCCACAGAACCTTCTTCCTTGCTCTTCACGTGACTCACATGGTTAGGGTTCCTTCTTCCTTCTTTCTCTTGCGACCCTTCTTCTCCTTGAAGCTCCATGGTTGCCTCTTCACAGAACTTCCATCGGCGCCTCCTCTTGAGCTTCTTCTCCGACCATACTTGCTTTCGTTGGCGATGACTTCCATTTATCTTATGTCTCTTTCTCCTTTTGTTTTCGTTGTTACTTTCAACTCTTTCCCAACGATTATTAAAACTCCTCCCCTCCGAGTATTCGATTCTCGCCACGGAACCATCCAAGGTCGACCTCCCTTGGGAATTCCAGCCTCAATCGCAACATTCATCAGCTCAACTCGCCCGATCTTCGAATTTCGTCGGAGTCTAATTTCTACTTCATCCCTCTTTTCAAACTTTTGTGATCGGTTTTGCTTTCTTCTTCTCCTCCCCAGCTTCTTTTCGCTCAGTTGCGGATAATTTTTATCATTCGTTCTCGATGAATCCCTGCATGCTGACCTTTTCATACCTCGGTTGATTTTCCATCAAGCTCCAGTCCACGTTCTTGGGTATGATCGCCGTCTTCCAGCAACTCTTCACCCCTGCTTCTGACAATCCAATAACTTCAAGACCGGTTTCTTCACAATTGGTCCTTCCGTCTTTGTATCTCTTTTTCCCTCCCAAACGGTCTTGTTGTGCACTCCGTAAGCAAATCTCGCATTTCTTTGAGTTGTCGTTGCAATTCTTTGAAAGGATTATCCTCTTCTACCGCCCATCTCCTTAGCTTCTGCAATACTAATGTTGATACAATTCCCATGGTTAGGATGAACTTGCTCTGATACCAACTTGTTCGGATCCTAAATACAAGAACCTAACTAGAAAAATATATTGTAATATAAAAGAGAAATTACAATATCAATAGCCTTTCGAGAGGGCTATCTCTCTCCCAAGAACCATGCTAAGTTCCTCACCAAAATACTATTCCCAAAGATGCCCTCCTTCTCCCTAACGACCCTTATTTATATCCATCTTACCCTTGGCTAATAACCATACTACCCCTTCATACTATCAAACTAATATTCCCCTATATCCTTAATATGGCTCTCACAAAATGATACTCCCAAAGTAGATAGGAAAGCTAGTAATCTGATAGGAATGACCCTTACGGTAATAAAGGGATATTATTAGGGTAATCTGATACCACTGATAGAACCTCCAAATATATTGAAGGATAAAAGATAAACGAACTACAATAGCTACCAAGTATTAGAGGTACTTGGACCCTGCCCCCTTGAGATATCACTCAAGCTTAAAACGTACTCACTAATTGGATAATATATTAATATCCCTAATAATATCCCTTTATTACCCTAAGGGTCATTCCTATCATAATCTAACCATTTTTTTTTTGTTCTTTGAAATCGTTTTGGGTTTAAAGATTAATAGAGAAAAGAGCTTAGTTATTGATGTTCTTTGAAACCCCTCGAAGGTGTCTCAGTAAGCCTTACTAGTGGGTGCCATCATCGGTAACCTTCCTTCTTCCTGCCTTAGCCTTGTTTTGGGTTACTGTCCCAAGAGTCTATCCTTGTGGAAACCCCAAAGAGTGGGATCCGTCTTTACTTCTTATGGCCATTAGTAATGGTGTGGAGAAAGCTTTTGAGAGATTTTATTTGGGAAGGTGTCCAGGAGGGTGGGATTACATTTAATTAGGTGAGAGGTGGTTTCAAGGCCAATTGACATTTGGGGCCTGGATGTTGGGAATCGAAGCTTTGCTATGAAGCCTTGTTGGCCAAATGTTATGGCATTTCCTGTTGGAACTGAACACCCTGTGGGATAGGATTATTGCACGTATGGTACCGTTCTTTTGAATGGGCTATAGTTTGTGGGTCTGAATGCATACATCTCGCGATCTTTCATTTTTCTTAAGCTTAAGTTGGATTTTTATTTTAAATAAAGGTAAATAGGAAAGCTCTGGAGAGCCTTTGGAGTTCAAGGGATGTAGGTAGACTTAACTTGAAAGATGACAGATATTTTAAAATATAATAGATAACCAATTCAATATTAAAAGAAAAAATTTATAACTTTGTCACTTTAAGCAAACATAACAAAATTGATCAATACAAACTAGTATATTAAAATACAAAAATGAAAATATCAAATATTTCTATAATAACAATTTGAACCATGTGTGGCACACATAGTTGGGCCATCCTTTCAAGAGAGAAAAGGCGCTCATTTGGAAACACATCCTTCGAGCTTTTTTTTGGGACTTTTTAGTTTTTATAAGTAAAGAAACCATAGACTCTACACAAAAATTGAACGCCCATTCGATAGACTCTGACAATATCATATTTCTTGCTATATCTTGGTGTAAAGCATCTCCACTATTTTACTCATATAGCATAGATTCTCTTTTGACCAATCGGAGAAGTTTCATGTAACTCCTTTGGTATTTGGGATATACCCACTATTTTGTAATTTCACTCATCAATGAAATTGTTTCTTAACAAAAAAGAAAAAAAATCTATGTGTGGTGCACATGTTAATTTACTATTACTTTCAAGTGGTGGTGATTTTATCTTTTTGTATTATTCTTCAGGTCATCCCTGTCACACAGAAGGATTGACTTCCTTAGCACTCAGTTCCGATTCAACCCTTGCTTTTTCTGGTTCAAAAGATGGTTCTGTTCATATTGTGAATATAGCAACTGGAAAGGTTAATTCTACAATTTTTAGATGATATCTATTTGTCTAACCATATAATTATCTTTCTTGTCTCAGTTAGATTGCATTCGAGTGGACAATTGATGCCACGTGCTAAAGTTTTTTGTTTTCTTGAAAGACTACTAATATGAAATATGGGCACTATCATTGTTTTGTTGAATATGTAATAGATAAACTAGATTTGATGTTACATATATACATAATTGTGTGAGGAGAGCTAAAGTTTGGTTGATGGAGGAAGGTGTAAAGAAAGAGGTTTTTGTGATATGTTATAGGCATGTGGGTTGATCATACCAACATTAATGCACCAGATCTCATAGAGAACTCCACAGCCAAGCCTGCTTCGGCGAGAGTAGTACTAAGTTGGGTGGCTATTTGGAAAATTCTCGTGTTGAACGCCTATAAAATATGTTATAGGCATGCTAGAAACTAGTTGGTCAGTTAATGTAAGAGGCAAAAGGAATTATGTATTATGGTAGCGGGCGAGACCTTGCATCATCTTGGTAGCTTGGAAAATGTATATGAATGGTTAAGTGGAAGAGTTAATATCAAATAAAATGTTAAAACTCTGAATTGTATTTATTTTAAACCTTAACAATGACGAATGTGAAAAGGGGTTCTAAAAATTTTGATATCTAAGGTGGTCAATGCATCAAAAGTCTAGATTGAGAATTTTGACAAATGTTGTGTTATTTTCCGAACTTTTATTTGTTGACAATGATGAATAAGATATTGACAAGTTGAATCTTATATTTGATAGATAACAGTTGTAGCTTAGTTGATCAGCATTAGACTTTAGCAACAAAGTTTAGATTCTTAATTTTAGCAAACGACTTTGGATTGGCCTATGTATTTATCTGCTTGTGGTACACTAAATTTTTGTAGGGTCGGTCAACAGATGTTTGTAGGACTGGTTGAGATATCCATAACTTGGCTTGGATATCCACATTTATAAGAAACAAAATTTTACAGTGGTTTTGACCATGGATGCAGATTTATGATGTTTTCATGTATATTGAAATGAAATCACTTACTGCTTTTGACAGGTGGTAAATTCTCTAGTTTCCCATTCGGATTCAATTGAGTGCATTGGTCTAGCGCCAAGGTATTGTGATTTTCTGCTATGTTGTCATTCACCTCCTTAAGGTAGAGGTTCCAAAAAAAGAAATTATGAAAGCATGTGAATCCGTAAAAGTAATGAATTTGATACATCATGTTGAATTAGTAGGGATGTTCTAATTGCTGCAGAAATGCTTTAGTGTAGACCCTTTTATTTTCTATAGCTTATGAATGTTCTGATTCTTGAAAACTTGCATTTCAGCTCCCCTTGGGCTGCAACTGGAGGAATGGATCAGAAGCTCATCATTTGGGATCTTCGACACTCGTTGCCACGCACTACATGCATGCATGAGGTCTGTTGAGAACTGATTTATGTTTTTAACTCAACTCTAGAATATAATTTAATTTATTGTTGATCTCATTGTAACAATCTGGCTTTTGGACTTATACTGACTATGGGCCTTTACCTTATGCATGTTATTGACATTTAAAAACTAGGGAAGAAGTACTTTAGAAAAAGAAAATTATACTAGCGCAATATAATTTCTAAAATATTCAAAACTTATATGGAATCCATGTAAAAGTAAAATTTAACAAAATCCAAAATTAAAAAAAAATATATTAATAGTAAATAAATAGAAACTTTATTTCAAGTTCTTAAAATAACTCTATCCAAGCATGAACAATATTTAAATGCGAAAAAATAACTCTATCCAAGCATGAACAATATTTAAATGTGAAAAAATAACTCTATCCAAGCATGAACAATATTTAAATGCCAAAAAAAGACCATGCTGACATAGACCCCATGACACACTTTAGCAAATAGTCCTTAGATTGGTGTATCGGAAGTGATTTTAACGTAGTTAGAAGTCCTTCAGAAAATTCGCGAGGGGGTAGAGTTACTAGAAGTATAAGAGACTTTAATGACTTCATAGAGGAGAGCAATTTGGAAGAAGTCCCTTTGAAGAATGGCTCTTTCACATGGTCAGATTTTAAAGAATTTCCAACCGCTTCCAGAATTGACAGATTCTTCCTTGCTCAAAGATGGTTTTAGCATTTTAAAGAGTCAACATTGTACAGACAAACGCGTTTCATTTCGGACCATTACCCTCTTCAGTTGAATTTAGGCCTTCAAAATTGGTGTCCCTCTCCCTTTCGTTTTGAGAACATGTGGCTAGAACACCCTAAATTTATAGAGGAAGTAGAAGGATGGTGGACTTCTTTGCCTTCAAATGGATGGCCAGGATATGCCTTTATGGAAAAGTTGAGAGGTCTGAAGAAGTTTCTTATTCAATGGAACAAATAAGAATTTGGGAATGTGGCTATTTCTAAGAAAAGCATTCTTGACCAGATTGATGAGATTGACAAAGAGGAGGAAAGGGGGTTTTTAAACCCTTCCCGTTCCTCCCTGCGTTTTTCGCTTCAAGTGAACCTTCTGGAGGTAACCTTAAAGGAGCAACAATCGTGGCCCATAATGCAAACTACAGTGGCTTAAGGAGGGTGATGAAAATTCCCATTTTTTCCATAAATGGGTGTCGGCAAAAAGGAACAAAGCTGTCATTCGCTCTCTTGTTCAAATTCTTTCTTCAAATATGGATATTGAAAAGGAAATCCTTGATTTCTTTACAAATCTGTATTCCAAGGCAGAGATTTATTTTTGAAGATTTAGATTGGTCCCCCTAAGTTCCCATTGGCAAGTTTGGCTTGAGTCTTCCTTCTCAGACGAAGAAATTTATAGGGCAGTCAAGAGCTTGGGAAATTTGAAGTCCCCGGGCCCAGATGGAATGACAACAGAGTTCTATAAAAAAGCTTGGAATATTTTGAAGCCTGACTTGCTTGAGGTGTTCCAAGAGTTTTTTAGGAATGGAATCATTAATGCCCGCACTAATGAGACTTATGTATGTTTGATACCGAAGAAACTTCAAGCGAACGGAGTTAGTGACTATCATCCCATAAGTCTGATTTCCTCTTTGTATAAGATTATGTCTAAGGTCTTGCCCAACAGACTCAAAAGGTCCTACCTTCCATCATAGCAGATGCCCAAGCAACCTTTGTGGAAGGAAGGCAGATTTTGGATGCCATTTTAGTTGCGGCTGAGGCGGTGGGTGACCGGCAGTCTTCAAATAAATTAGGTTTTCTTCTCAAACTTGACTACGAGAAAGCTTATGACAAAGTAGATTGGGATTTTATAGATGCAGTTTTTGAGAAAAAAGGCTTTGGGCAGCGTTGGAGAATGTGGATCAGGGGCTAGTCCTCAACAAACTTCTCGATTATTGTTAATGATAGGCCAAGGGACAAAATCAAGTCGACAAGAGGTCTAAGACAAGGAGACCCCCTCTCTCCTTTCTTTTTCACTCTTGTTGGTGACTCTTTTAGCCGTTTGGTCCATCTTTGTTGTGAGAAGCGTATGATAAAGGGCTTTGAGTTGGGGGAAAAGAAGGTTTTGATCTCTCATTTGCAATATGCCGATGACACCATTTTGTTCTGTCCAGATGAGAATGGTTACTTATTTAAATGGTGGATTGTGATAAATTGGTTTTTAAGAGCTTCTGGCCTCTCTTTAAACCTGAACAAGACCTCCCTTATAGGCATAAATGTCAGGGTTGATAGATTAATTCATAAAGCTTCGAGACTGGGTTTTAGAGTGGAAGAACTTCCTTTCTCTTATCTTGGTTTACCTCTTGGGGGTAACTTCAAATCTACGGCCCTTTGGCGGCCAGTGGTTGAGCAGCTGAAACAAAAGCTTGGAAAATGGCAAAAGATTTTTCTCTCCAAAGGAGGAAGATTGACTTTAGCCCAATCGGTTTTGAATAGCATGCCTATTTATTTCTTATCCCTTTTGAAAGCCCCTGTAGGAGTTGCAAAAGAGCTAGACAAGTTGGTTAGAGATTTTTTCTGGAATGGAGGCAGATCTCTTCCCCACAGAAATTTAGTTAATTGGAACACCACTTCTCTGCCTTTGAATAAGGGAGGCTTTGGCATTGGAGCTTTCCACCTTTGGAACAATGCTTTGCTTCTAAAATGGCTTTGGAGGTTTACTCAGGAGGAAGCAACCCTTGGGAGGAGAGTGATAGAAAGTATTTATGGGACAGAACCTCACGGGTGGTTGTCCAAAAAGCCCAAAGGAAGAGCGGTTGGCAAACCTTGGTTTGAAATAGCAAAAAACAGCATTCTTTTCCTCAAGCTCCTTTCTTTCAAAGTTAATCACGGTAATAGAGTTCGCTTCTGGTTGGATAGATGGACAAGGAGTTCCACGCTTGCTCTAGACTTCCCTGATATTTTTGCTTTGTCGCTAAAAAAGGAGGCTACAGTTTAAGATGACCAGCTAGTTTGGGACCTTGGCATAAGAAGGGGCTGCTTGATAGAGAAATTGAAAGTTGGGTTGATCTTATGAGCAGATTGGATACCATTCGGCTGGGAGAGGGAGTTGACAAGGTGGTTTGATCTCTTGATTCTTTCGGAAGTTTTACAGTTAAATCGGCCCTAAAAATCATGTTTGAAGATGCTCCTTCTCTGAACCCGCCCTTAATCTCTCTTTTATGGAAATACTCTATTCCAAAGAAAGTTAAAGTCTTCCTTTGGACCTTAGCAAACAGGGCTGTTAATACATCAAAGAGGCTCCAGAAAAGATGTCCAAACTGGGCTCTTCTCCTTCTCTGTATGTTATGTGTAATCAAAATGAAGAGTCTATGGATCATATTTTCATTCATTGCCAGTTTGCGCAGAACGGGTGGTCTTTTCTGTTCCAAATCTTCGGTATCTCATTTTGTTTGCCCAAGAATATTGATGGTTGGCTTCATGATGTCCTGCGAGGGTGACACCTTAAGAGGAAAGCTAAGATTTTGTGGAATTGTGCCGCTAGAGCTCTTCTATGGATATTTGGGTGGAAAGAAACAACAGAATCTTCGAGGATAAGTCGTCTACTTTTGAAACTTTTTGTAATACGATTTAATTACACTCTTCTTGGTGGTGCTATAGGCATAGAAAATTCTTTTGTAATTGTAGCCTCTAATCGTTACTTCAAGATTTGAGAGCTATCATTCACTAGCTTTTGGGAGGGGGATATCTCTTCCCCTGACCTAGCATTTTTTTTGTAACTATGCTTCTTTTAGGAAAGTGCTTTAATGTTTTTTATAAAAAAAAATAAAAATAAAACTTACATAGTGTGTGGCCAAGCTCATGGCTCTTAGGCCCCGTTACAATCTAGCACCACCATAAAGTTGGTACCTAAGTAAATTTTATGTACACTAATGCTTAAAGTTGGTATCAAGGTCCAAATTAATGGTTTTGTAGACTTGCTTAGTGTGTCACCATGGTCAAGCATGTAAATACTTTGTCATTGCCAAGTATGTTGTATGTTTTTATATATATATTAAAAAATTGGTGTAATATGCATAAATAATAGACATGATTATACTGTATTGTAATGAACAATATGTTTGATGTTTAATGGTTGTGACGTTAGGACTTAGCTGAACTTTGTTGTGATTATTAGATTATGGCTCCACGTAGAAGAGGGTATGTGAGATGGGTGGACTAGGTAGAGATGCAGTTACTAAGACAATAGAGTCAACAATGAATTAACCTAATGGTCAGATAGAGAAAAAATCGGTAAGTCAAATTTCTAGACAGTTAGAGCGTCATTGATGAAGACCTTCCAAACACTTGTTCAAACTGTGGTATCTAACCACATGGCTCAATTGGCTCAAGACCAAGGGGACATGTCACTGGAAGTCAAGTATTTGTGAGATTTTAAGAAGTATGATCTTTGATGGATTATCCTTAGATCTAACGATGGTTGAGACTTGATTGTCGTCTATAGAGAATATCTTTTGTTACATGAGGTGTCCAGAGGAACAGGAGGTGCAGTGTGCAGTCTTCATGTTGAAAGATATACTCTTTTATGGTGGTAGTCCGCAGAGAGGTCTATTGATATTAGTGGAGGTCTGGTCACGTAGTTGCAATTTAAGAAAGTTTTCTTCTCGCAGTATTACCTAGCAATCACCCCGATAAAGAAACAAACAAAATTCTTGAGCCTGAAGCAAGGCAATCGACCTTGGAGGAATATGAGATAGAATTCACAAAATTGTCCCGTTTTGCCCTGAGATAATTGACACAGAGGCCAAAAAGATCGAACGATTTATTATGGATTTGAAGGATGAGATTCAAGGCTTTGTGGTAGCTCTCTCTTCCTCAGATTATCCTACGGCACTTCGAGCAGCTGCATTGATTGACAACTGTTGACAAGTTAGTCTTTTAAGTCCTTTAGGACTAGGATCTTTCTCAGGATAGAAGAGGAAGTTCGGCATAGAAGAGGAAGTTCGGTTAAGTATCTTGTAATCTACAACAGCTTGAGGATAATTTTGTCACGACAAACCAAGCTAAAGTTCAGAGACAACCGCCTAATCGACAACAAAGGCCTAACTATGAAAAATCAGTTTGTAGTACTTGCAAACATTCGGGGCGTTGTTAGTAAGAAACTAGACTATGTTTCTAATGTGGCAAGGAAGAGCACATGGTTGTAGATTGCCACAAAGACATGCCCAAGTTGATGCAAAACAACCCTCTAAGATGAACTAGCGAACGTCAAGTAAGTAGACCTGATAGTAGGACAAACTTCAGTCATTACATGTCATGGAGTGAGGGACGTTGATGCTTTAGTGACAAGTACATGACCAGGTTCAAGAATTCTGCTTGTTTCTTGAATCAAGTTATTATTGGGTAATTAAATTGCAACCATGTGACCATTCTCTACTAACGTCAATAGACCTCTCAGAACACTCTCACCACAAAAGAGCATTGTCTTTCAACATGAAGACTGTACACTACATATTTTGTTCCTCTGGACACTTCATGTAACAGAAGATAGTCTCTATGGACGACAACTAAGCCTCAACCATCGTCAGTTCTAAGGATAGTCCATCAAGAGGGCAAGGATCACACTTTTTAAAATCTCACAAATACTTGGGTTCTAATGACATGCCCGCTCGGTCTTGAGCAAATTGAGCCATTTAGTTAGAGATTGCAGTTTGAATAAGTATTTGGGAAGTTTCCATCATTAAGGACGCTGCAATAGGCTTTGGCTGCCTAGAATTTTGACTCATTAGTGGATTCTCTATCATTAGGTTGATTCATTGTTTAGTGTCTCAAGGACTACACTTTTACCTAGCCACCCCGTTCTGCATGGAGCCATAATCTAATAACTACAACTGACTTCTGCTGAGTCTAATGTCACAATCATTAAGCATAATGTTCATTAGGACAAATCTTTCAAATAATATAAATTAAAAAAGAAATTACAAATTTAATGTAAATTATAAAATAAAATTTAAAAAATGTAAATAAAATAATAAAAATCTGAAATAGGTAAATTTCAAAACTATTAACAAAAGTAGGGTATTGGAGTCAAAGTCAAAAATCGTGTACAATGTATACATTTTACACGTGGAAGGTGAGTGGACTAACTCTACTGAACTCGTGTACATTGTATACGATTTACCAATTTTTGGCAAA